ACCAGAGTCACCCAGGGCAATCCACAGTGAGTGAACGTCCAGCCTGAGGGATTACTACTGCTGTGTCGTTGGGTCTGGTAAGAGGGACTTGCGCTCATTGCTTCCTATCACTATATACTGAGCCATTAGGAACTGCCTAACCTGCTATGCTATAGCCCTAGTACTCCCTACAGGCTTTATTGATGGCCGCAACTCTCTCCAACGAGCTCCAATGATTAGTCAACGAAGATTTAGGACTAAAGCCTGCCTCTAATTTTAACTGCCCCAAGGCCCTAGCCTACCCTTGTCCATTCATTGAGTGCACTCAAAACCAGTAGTATAGAGCTGCTATTGTTCTAAAAGCATTTAGAGTTCATATACACAATTCACTCTGACTTGCTAATTAATATATTGATTCTCGCTAATGATACAGAATCGTACTTCTTTCTTTTCTACTTGGGTGTAGTTCTTTGACCCTGTTTAGCAGCCTGCGTCCTAACTTGACTGCTGTGTGTTTAATTCTGTTTAAACTTCCATATAAGTTAATTCCTTTTTTATAGATTAAGCGTATTTATTGGCAATACCCCACAGCCAGGCAAAAGGTATTTTACAATTGTGTTGTTACTTGTGCTCACAGTGATTTTATTCAACTAGGTGTATCAGAGGGGCTGATGTTGCTCTTGGATTCAAGACACAAAACAGGGAACCCAAAATTACCAAGTGGGTGGTGCTACACATATCACAAAGTTAAAACTCAGAAGGAACACATGACACAAGTCTCAAAACAATTTTTAGAGGTAGTAATGGTATGGGCCATGATCAAGTGATCAGAAACAATTTACAGGCAGGGCAAAGAGCAACAACGTACAATAAACCCAATCCAAATTCGCTAGTGTAAATGTGTCAAACCAAAGAGAGAAGATTGTGACTGACTGGTAAGATTCTTCTACCAGGCTCCTTGACTGCTAGTGTAGCCTTGTTACATGACTTCAGCGGTAACATTTCTTCTCTGTTTTTTAAATTCCTGATTGACTTTCACTGCTTTCCTTCTGGATTAAGATAACTTTCCTTGTAAGCATTATTCTTTAGTCATTCCTATACATATGCCCATAGCCTATAGTAGGAATCATGCTTTAAGAGGCACAGATGGTGCTGTATGGCCTCCCCATGTATTAGTAAGTATACACAATTCAGAACTTTTATTTCAATGTTTTAAAAGGGAGTTTTATATCTAAATCATGTTATGCAACTAATTATTTTACTACTCTTCACCTGTTGCTCATAACCTAAATCTCAAAGAAAATTTCTCGTGAACCCATGGTTGATTATCAGCAGCTGACAGTTCCTGAGTAGCAGCGGGTCCTGTGGCATTGTCAAAGGGTGACATTTTAGGCTCTGAAAGTCAATCAATGGCTCTGCCTTAACAAGAATCTCATCCTTTGCCAGTGCTTACAAATCAACCCTTTCCCACTTGGGTTGTGCACAGGAATAGTCTATAGTATTTAAGCAGAAAAAAATCCTTATGCTAATATACCAAATTATGTACAAATAGACTGAAGTCTTGATATATAATCATCCCCTGAAGCCTCTAAATATGGTTTGGCAAACCAGCTGCCTTTAGTGTCACATGATCACAAAATATACCTGCTTAATCAAGGCCCCAGAGTATGTTGGCGAACATACTTAAACAGATAGCATCACAAAGGCCAAATCCATGATGTTATGACGAAACCCCAAGCAGGGTTTATTACAAAAAATGTAGACTTTAATCATCCCATGAAACACCTTTAAATCCATATTTAAAAAGGAAAGAATGTTACATAACCAAGGCTCTGTTACAGAAGGCTGAGCACCAAAACCCAGTGATCAAGAGACCATTGGTAACTCCAATCCAAAGCTGTGACATGAAAAAATGTCTATGTGATAATTACAAACCAGAGGCTCCAAAATGAGTTTTGTGTAAGAAATGAGAAGAATGTTTTTGTTCCCTCTGTAAAATAGTACAGTATAGTGGAGACACACGACAAACCTGCCCATCACCCTGTCAATCCATCCTTTTTGTGAAGTATGGGGGTGGTAGCATCATTTTGCACTGATGCTTTTTATCAACAGGAAACTGATAATAATTGATGGTAAGATAAACAGGGCATTTCTAAAGAAACATTGTTTCGGTCTGCAAGAGATATGAGACTTGGGCACAGGGTCACCTTATAGCAGCTCAATAACCCTAAAAACACACAGCCACAGCTACACTTTTGTGGTTTAAAGAAAACAGTATCCTAAAATGGCTCAATCCAAGCCAAGTCTTAAGTCCAATATAGAATCTGTGTCAAGGTTGAAAATTACTGTTCACCAGAGGGGGGCCTGGGGTCCCTAACTTCTCTAAGTACTATGTGGCGGCGGCTCAAATTGCACCTCTAACCTCATTGTATGCAGCACAACAAGCCCACATTTGTGTAAATTTAGAAGGGCTCTCTTGCCACTCGATCTCCATCTCTTCGCTTTTATGGCTCCCCCCGAAATCCAGACCCACATCTCTCAGACCTCTAATGGCCCACTCATTGTGTATATGGGACTCCACAAAATACACCAGTGGCCTAATCTCCCCTCATCTACCACTCCTCCCCCTTGTGGGCAATCCTCTGTTTCCGCCCGTCCTTGAATCCCCTACTGCATTCCATTGGTGGATCTCCCACAACTTTCAATGCATTCACTCATTTCTCACGGGCCGCTCAGTTTACACTTGGGCAGAAATAAGGGACAAACATCAAGCCCCTCTACGGAATTTTTCAGATATTTACAGATAAAACACTGGGTAAATTCAGTGCTTATCAATAAGGACCCAACCACACAATTATCCTTGTTCGAACACATCTGCCACCAGACGCCTCTATCTCCTAAGCTATCTCTATCCTGTACTCACAATTTACTAATCTACAGAACCCCAATAATCACGCTTATGTTTCCAGAAGGGAAAGAGACCTCAAAGGCACTAAAGATTGTGCATGCTTGTCACAGATATGGTTACCTCTGACCTCATGCTCCATCAACGTCCCGACTATGGAATCAGATTTCAAAACAGTGACAGGATGGTATATTGTTCCTACCCATTTAGCATTTCTTCACCCATAATCCCCCAATATTTGCTTCCGAAGCTGTAACACACCAGGTGATGTTCTACACATATGGTGAATATGACCTTTTGGTTTTCCAATTTAAGTCAAAGGTTTTCAAACTACTCCAATCATTACTTACTTGCCCCTTTCCGAGAGACCTTTGGTATACTCTCTTACACTTAAAACTTTCAGGTATGTCTAAACACCAATTTAAACTAGCCACTCACATACTATTGGCGGCCAAATTAACCATAGCGAAAGCCTGCAAACAGCAGTTTCTTCTTAATAAACTAAAAACTGTCCAGTGTCCTCTCACACCCATGAGAAAATCCTTAAAACTTGGACTCTATGGATCCAACACGCCCACCCGAGATTCCAGTAAATAGCTTCACCTCACTATAGCCTAATTAAACTTTACAAACCAAACTCAAGTGATTTGGATGTCCACACCCCCCCCCAATCCCCTCAACCTGTCTCCACTATCTCCTTTTTCTCTTCTCTTTTGATTCCCATTCTTTGGCTCTTCCACAGGGATGCCCCACAAACCACGAGGTGTCCTACACATCTCATGTTTTGATAGCATATTAGCATATCTTAAATTATATAATCCTTATACCGATGTCGGCTGTTAAGCTACAGATAGGCAGCCTTTTCTATGCACTAACCAATCAACCAACACAAAATGTATGTTTTATTTCTACTCTTTTGACAAATACTATTTTAGGTATGTTCCATTTGTATACAACTGCTGTTGACTGCTGTTCATACATGTGATTCTGTTTTAGTACTAGAAAGCAGTCGAGTTTGTACTTTGTACTTAAAAAAAACAATAAAAATCTATTGAAAGGAAAATTACTGTTCACCAATGTCCACAACCAAACTAGAGCAATTGTATTAGGTGGAGTAGATACAGTTTGACAACCCAAATGTTCAAACTTGGTGGAGATTTAAGAAAAAGAATTGCAGCTAAAGATAAGTATTCACTAGGGAGGGTAAATACCTAAACTTTTTTTTTTTTGTGCCACAAAAAATAAATACATTTGTACCTGCAATTGTTCAGTATGTTGTAGAAATGTTTGGTAACAATCCAAATTAAATCTATTTTAATTTCAGATTGTAACTCCATAGAATGTGAAAAAGTATAACTAAAGGCAAAACATTTTTGTTTGTTATGGATATAGTAGAGATTGATTAGAACATCTGTCAGGTTTTTACTGCTGTCTGTGTCTCCCTCTCTATTTGTCCTGTTTGCCATTATCATTGAAAATGAAAGAAAAAGAAAATCCCAAATTTTGGGTTGTCCCCAGAAATGTAATAGAGGGGCAATATTCCAAAGGGGACACTAGTTCTGATGACCTAGGGTTCCCTAAGAAATTCCCTTAATTTGTTTGGTTATGGGACAGGAAGTAAAGGAAAATTTCTGTAATGGGTCATTGATGGCAAAACAAAATCTGACAGGGGTTATAACCCTTCCTTGCTATATCCAAGATGAAAAAAAAAGTTTTGCCTATAGTTCTACTTTAATGGAGAGTGAATACTTATGCAAAACACTATACTGTATATGCTCACTGAATACATGTGCAGTCAAGATTTTTTTTACTCATTTATAAATAATTTTTAAATTAATGTAGGGGGTGGATAACACATGCGTAAACACATACACACACGCGCGCACGCACACTATACATTTTAGGTAGGACTGAAGCTTCCTGCAAAAATATCTTTAAATAAAACAACATATTTCTTAAAGCCATTCATGCAAGAATAAATTATACCTATAAATAATTTCTGTGTTTCCTAGAAATTAGCTCATCATGCAAAATTAAATCAATAAATAAAGCACAGCATGCTTTAATAACTTTCTGGAATAGCATGCACTCATGCACTCTAACATAAATTTTACCTTGTCATAATAGGGTTGCGTATACCATACAAATACTCATTATGATAACCATTATTACCATTTTCCATACTGTAACAAAACAATTGCATGAGAAAAATAAATATAGTAAATGTGACAATGTAAAAAGGAAAAGTAAAAAAGCAACTAATGAGGAAAATTAAACCATTAAAAAAGATATGATATATTTTATGTTCACAACTATTGTGTTTCAGTTCAAAGATTCACGTGGGGCATGCAATAAATGTTCTAAAAATAAAAAGAATAACTTGGAATGAAAATTAATTATGAATCCATAATGATAGTGTGCATTCTTTTGGAAAAGTAACGTGTCTAGTATTTTTACACTTACAAGCAAAGACCCACACATTAAAAATGTTACAAAAGACAAATAGCCTCTCTGGTAAGGTTATAAAAAATAAACTGAAAAAAAAGACATGAAAATAGCAAAAAAAAAAAAGCTTACTTTTTCATGGGGACAGTTTCAACACTAAAAGATATAAAAACAGGGAACAAATTACTTAAAAAATATAGTAAGTAAAATATAAATTAGTAATTTAATGTTGTGCAGAAAAATGAGAAGTTTGTGCTTTTTAGTGGGCTACATGTAATCCTCAGTGATGAGATTAGAAGTATCAATACGCTAAGTGCCAGGGACATCTTTGGGAAGAAAGCAGCACATTACCATGGCACCAGCAGTATCCAGGTTAACCTAATGCGTATGGACAGCCAGGTTTTGTGAATGGAAAGTTTAAGATTTATGGACGATGTAGAATGGGAAAGGTTCTCTGAGCGTGAAGAAACAGAACACATAAGCATGGGGCGGAGGCTCAATGGTAAAAACAGTTATCATAAAGTGAAATGCCAAGTCCCTGAAACAGACGTACTGTAGGCAAGAGAAGAAAAGCTAGTTAGGATTGTGTGATGGTATCAACAGTTCTAGTCACAGTTTGACAGTGGAATATTGTGTACAACCTGACCAAAGAGTATGACCAAAAAGACTCAACAAACATCATAGTTTCCAGATGTATGACAAGACACTGACATAATGTTGGGTGATACTTGGTTATAAGGTATGAGTAGGTGGGATGCTAAAGGTATGCTTTAAGTGGAGCTAGCATCAGATACTACAGATGTTTTCATATCAAGTGGAGCATGCCAAGTAATGTGAAAGTGTAACACTTCCAGGTATTCATTTCTTTTCATAGAGATCACAGAATTCCTCCTGACAATGCATTATTTTTTTTCTATAGACCGATACACAGAGTAGGGCTTGGGAGCAAGCGCGCACAAGTGCCCCCACAGCAAGTTGCTTGCTGTGGGGGCACTCAGCAGGGGGAGGTGCCAGTAGCACTGGAGGTGGACCTGAGAAGAGGAGACTCGGGGCTGCTCTGTGCAAAGCCATTGTACAGAGCAGGTATTCATAACATGTTTGTTATTTTAAACCAATAAAAATCAAAGCTCCAATATTGCTTTAACTATTTTAATCCCTATGCTGATAGCATTAGTAAATAGATAGGAAGGTATATTTACTTATAACCATTTCTTTATTTCATGTGGAGGAGGGGCTTTCTCAGTTAAGCACACCTTCCTAACTGGATGCCTGAACTAAGGGCAAATGGATTCCAGGAAGTAAATTCTACATAAATCATCTGCCCTTACTCAAGATTGCATGGGGGTGTTTTTCAAAGTGAGTTTTCAACAATATAAAGCATTGAGGCATGGATGGATGGGGGAGTTTGCTTTGAATATTTAAAAAAAAATAGTGTTTTCATTTTGTAGTGCTCAGATACAATTGTGCTTCTTTTTAGGATACTGCATTTAAACTAACTCAAGGGACACAGCCTACCAACTGGACACCTCTAATATCTTTCCTGTGATTTATATTCTGTAGGTGAAGGTAGTTGTCTGAACAAGTCATAGAAATCAATATGCAAAAGGAAAACTTCATATAGCTACGGAGATACACCAAAGGTGTAGAGCTTGCATATCCATGCGCCTATTGTTGACTCTAACTTCCATACTAATACTGTCATTTATATCTACACTGGTGCTTGAAACCTACAACATACAACCTACGTTTGAAAGGTAACTCCTGGTGAAAATTGCTAACCAGTGTGTGAGGGTTTACTGATAGTTGATCAGTTGTCCTTTAGTGCCAGATCTGAAGAATTATTGCTTAGTTTTAAACTAGTAGTAGAGCATTGTAACAGGTTAGCCATTGTATAATCCAGAATGTTTTGACTTCAGGTGATAAAGGCTAAATTAAGTTACTGAAGATGCAAGCTTCTGGGTTAACTGAGATCCTTCGTCAGAGTTTATACAACTCATTTTAAATGAAATATTACAATAGATTAAGGTGTTATGCTTTGCTTTGTGAGTAGGCAGCATATGCACTTATTTTAATTACAGATTTCCCAAAATTCTCATGTGTTAAACCTTGCTAAAACTGAGCTCCTAGTTTTCCCCCCAGCCAGCGCCCCCCCCCCCCCGACCTCTCCATCACGACCAACAATGCTACCATCAGCCCCACCCTGCAAGCCAAAGTACTAGGTGTCATTCTAGACTCCAATCTGTCTTTCCAGCCCCAGATCCAATCGCTGACAAATTCATGCAGACTCCACCTCCGCAACGTCTTAAAAAAAAGCACGTTCCTAACTCCAGAAACCACAAAGCAACTCATCCACTCCCTTATCATATCTTGACTTGACTACTGCAACTCCCTCCTCGCCGGCCTACCCCAACACAGGCTATCCCCGCTTCAGTCTATCCTGAATTCTGCGGCCAGACTCATCCACCTCACCAACCACTCCGTATCCGCCTCCCCCCTCTGCCAATCCCTCCACTGGCTTCCGATTGCCCAACGCATAAAATTCTAAATTTTTAACATTGACGTACACAGCTGTTCATAACACTGCCCCAAACTACATCACCGACCAGATATCCATCTACCACCCAAAACACACTCTCCGCTCCTCATGAGACCTCCTACTCCCCAGTTCCCCTGTCTCCTCCTCCCATGCCTGTCTCCAGGACTTCTCCAGGGCTTCCCCCATCCTCTGGAACTCATTGGGGAATCCATCAGACTGTCACCTACCCTCCGGTGAGGCGCACCCTGAAAACCCATCTCTTCAGAGAAGCCTACCCAGCCCTCACCTAATTGCTGATCTCCTCAGCTCTTCCCACCACTCCATCCCCCACAGCTATTTCCTCCTGTACCACTCTCCCCTCCCTCCTAGATTGTAAGCTCCAAGGAGCAGGGTCCTCATACCCCTCGTGTTTTGTATTGTATTGTTACTGTACTGTCTCCCACTATATTGTACAGCGCTGAGCAAACTATTGGCGCTATATAAATACTGTATAATAATAATAATGTGTTATAACTATACTGGAAAGATTGCTTTCAAATTTGGCATCACGAAGGGGTCCTTCACACCAGGTTTTAGTTAACTTTCATGTATTTATTATTTATTTTTCTTTCCAGGTATTGAGAACAATGGCAGGACTGGATTAGGCAACATGGTACAAATGAATGGCCGTTATATTCACTCGAACTGATGCCTATGGACTTCTTTTTTTGGACGTAGTAAAAGATATGATTTTGAAGAAGCCCCACATGGTGGATGAAATGAAGGAGTTCATCTCACAAGCATTTGTATATTACTGTATGTCACAGTGTTGGGGATAGGATCAAGCAATGTTGCAACATTGATGAAGGAAATTGCAAGCACCTAATAGAATAAGCAGTGTCATAGTGTTGGGGACAAGTTTTAGGGATGTTTAGAGACTAAACATGATCTGGATCAGTTCTCAACCACAGTAAAGTAAAATAAATAATAATTAGACAGCAATGAAAAATAAATAACATTAAAATAAAATGTCATAATCCAATCAGTAATTATTATTATTATTATACAGTATTTATAAAGCGCCAATAGTTCACTCAGCGCTGTACATTACAAAGGGGGACAGAACATGTGACAGAACAATACCAATACAATGCAAAACATGAGGGGATCGAGGGCCCTGCTCTTTCGAGCTTACAATCTAGAAGGGATGGGATAGTGGTACAGGAGGAGATAGCTGTGGGGGATGGAGTGGTAGGAAGAGTGGAGGAGGTCAGCAAGTTAGCAGGGGGTGAGGTAGGCTTCCCTGAAGAGATGGGTTTTCAGGGTGTGCCTAAAGGAGAGGAGAGTAGGTGATAATCTGATGGGTTGGGGCAGGGAGTTCCAGAGGATGGGTGACACCCTGGAGAAGTCCTGGAGGCGGGCATGGGAGGAGGAGACCAGGGAACTAGAGAGAAGGAGGTCTTGTGAGGAGCGGAGTGTGCGTGCTGGGCGGTACTTGGATATTAGGTCAGTGATGTAGTTCGGGGCAGTATGGTGGACAGCTTTGTACGTCAGTGTTAGGATTTTAAATTTGATCCGTTGCGCAATCGGAAGCCAGTGGAGGGATTGGCAGAGGGGGGTGGCAGAAACGGAGCGTTTGGAAAGGTGAATGAGTCTGGCAGCCGTATTCAGGATCGACTGAAGCGGGGATAGCCAGCGGCGAGGCAGGCCAGTGAGGAGGGATTTGCAGTAGTCGAGTCGTGATATGATGAGGGAGTGGATGAGCTGTTTAGTGGTTTCTGGGGTTAGGAACATGCGGATTTTGGCGATGTTGCGGAGGTGGAGTCTGCACGAGTTTGTTAAAGATTGGACTTGGGGCTGGAAGGATAGGTTGGAGTCCAGAATGACACCAAGTACTCTGGCCTGCAGAGCGGGTTTGATATTGGCGTTGTTGGATGTGATGTAGAAGTCAATGGGGGGTGGGGTTCGGGCTGGGGGGAAGACAAGGAGCTCGGTTTTGGAGAGATTCAGTTTAAGGAAGTGGAGCGACATCCAATCTGATATGTCGCTCAGTAGGTGTGTGATTTGGGCAGAGAGACCGAGGGGGTGAGGTGGGGGGTTGAGAGATAGATTTGTGTGTCGTCAGCATAGAGGTGGTAGTTGAAGCCGTGAGAGTGTATGAGTTGGCCAAGGGAGGAGGTGTAGATGGAGAAGAGAAGGGGCCCAAGGACAGAGCCTTGAGGGACCCCAACAGAGAGGGGGAGTGAGGGGGAGGTGGTAGCATTATAGGTAATGCTGAAAGAGCGTTGTGACAGGTAGGATGAGAGCCAGGAGAGAGCAGAATCTCTGAGGCCGAGGGAGTGTAGTATTTTTGAGGAGGAGCGGGTGGTCAACTGTGTCGAAGGCCGCAGAGAGGTCAAGGAGTAGGAGCACTGAATAGTGGCCATTAGCTTTGGCGGTTAGAAGGTCGTTGGAGAGTTTGAGTAAGGCGGTTTCGGTGGAGTGTAGGGGGCGGAAGCCAGACTGTAGGGGATCGAGGAGGTTGTTGTCGTTGAGGTGAGAGCATAGGCGGGTGTAGACGAGGCGCTCGAGGAGTTTAGATGTAAGTGGGAGCAGGGAGATGGGTCTGAGGTTGTTCGGGTCATTGGGGTCCAGGGAGGGCTTTTTAAGTATGGGGGTGATGTGTGCATGCTTCAGTGGGGAGGGGAAAGTGCCGGAGGAGAGGGAGAGATTAAAGATGTGGGTGAGGGAGCGTAGGATGGAGGGGGAGGGAGGTCGTAGGAATTGTGAGGGGATAGGGTCGAGGGGGCAGGTGGTGAGGCGGGCATCAGAGAGGATCTTGGAGACTTCCTCGATGGTAGTAAGATCAAAGGTGCGGAGTGTTGGGGGAGCTTCAGTATGAGGAATGTAGGGTGGGGTGAGAGAGGAGGTCAGAGCAGTGGTGAGGCCGTGCGAGAGGGGTGAAGAGGGGGTAGCTAAGTGAGGGGGAAGGGGGTTGGAGGGAGTTTGAGCAGCGACGAAGTCCCTGCGGGTAATGTCGAGGGGGAGGGGGGATGATGGGGTAGCTGTGTGAGAGGGGACGGGTTGAGAGGGCGTGTGAGTTGTGGCAATGTCCTTGCGAATTGTGTCAATCTTGTTTTTGAAGTGATTGGCAATCTCAAGGGCGGTGAGTGAGGTGCTGGGTGGAGGTGGGGGTGGAGAGAGTAGAGAGTTGAAGGTGGAGAAGAGTCGGCGAGGATTGGAGGAGAGGGCCTTGATGAGGGTCAGGAAGTAGGCTTGTTTGGCTGCGTGGAGGGAGGAGGTGTAGGTGCGGAAGGCAGATTTGTAGCAGGTGAAAGCTTGTTGGGATTTTGTTTTGCGCCATAGTCGCTCCAGGGCACGACTGCGTCGTTTGAGGGTTTTGGTGTGATCAGTCTGCCAGGGCTGGAGCGGTCGGAGTCTGATGTTGCGTGTGGTTAAAGGCGCTAGTGAGTCAAGGGCTGCTGACAGCGCGTTGTTGTAGGCAGTCATAGCCAAGTCGGGGCAGGACAGGGGGAGGATGCGGTCGTGGAGTTGATCAGCTGCAGAGTGGAGGGGGGCAGGGTTAAGGTTGCGGAGGTTACGGCTGGTAGTAGTGTGACATTTGGAGGGGTAGGCGTTGGAGGACGAGGAGATAGAGAAGGTGATCAGGTTGTGGTCAGAGAGAGGGAAGGGGGTGTTAGTGAGGTTGTGGGGAGCGCAGCGGTTGGAGAAGACAAGATCAAGGATATTACCGTCGGAGTGGGTGATGGATTGTATGCACTGTGCAAGTGCAAAGGAGGAGGTTAAGTGGAGGAGACGGGCTGTGTCCGGGTTGTCAAGGTTGACAGGGATGTTGAAATCCCCAAGAATGATGGTGGGTAGCTCAGAGGAGATATACCTACAGTACTTTTGGGACAGTATAATAATTTTAGGATTTTTAAAGTGTCAAAGGACCACTATAGTAAAAAAAAGTTCATACTTCTAATAATAGTATTCATATTATGATTTCCTTTTTTTTTTTATTTCACATGCCTTTATTTATATTTTCCTCAACATTTACATCTAGACCAAGTTGTCCTGCTAAAGTGACAGCTACAATGGTTGGGACAGACAACATAATTACTGTCAGGATCATAGGGTAATAGAACTATTATACAAAGGGGAAAGACAAAAAACTACTGATATAATGCTAGTGATAGACTGCACCATATACAGTACTGTAGGTTACTTTATAATTTTGCCCATAGTATGCCCGTTTATAGTTCAGTTTTTCTTCAGAAGAATTCTACCTTGAACCAGCCACAACTTGCTATTCTAAGCACTATATCTATTCAGTGTCTTCTTATATTCAGGATTAATGCACAAAAGAAAACTGATAACTTTGGTACTTTCCAAGGTTACCATGAAATATCACACCATCTGCTAGGGGCGAATAGGGTATGCACAGATCATGCCTAATTGAATTTTTGTAACATCAGACCATCGTGTTTGTTCTAACCTCTGTTTTTCTGAAGAGTGCTTGAAACCTATTCAGACTTCAAAGCCTCACATCAGATGTAGGCTTTAAGAGTGTAGAGAACATGATCAAAGCAATCTTTTCAATAATGCCAGTTTTCTGTTAAGCGGATTTTTGTGGCGTGAATTTTAATTTCTTAGGTGTGTTTTTAGCTCCCTGTAGATTGAGGTCAGCTCCTTGATCTGTGTTTTCCAACTCCTACACATGCACAACTCATAGTAGGACACATATAAACACTAAGATAGCAAAGTGATCTCAATATATTCCCTTACTGCTTATCTTTAGGAACACTATGTGAAAATGTATAGACTGTATAGACCAAGGTATTAATGAATGCTACATAAATGCTTATGTATTTGTACTTACTCATCATAAACATCTTCTGTGTCCATTCTGCGATAGAACTTTGCTAACTTAACAGCAAAAATGATGGCAGGAAGTAAGAATATAGTTGATCCTCCCAAACCAAACCAAAATGAGTTCTGTAGAAACACAAAATATATATTATTTTAAAAGGGAGACTAATGTTTTTACATTAAAGCAATGCCAATTTAAAAGACCTGATTAAAGGGTAGACCAGTCTGCTGTCTCACACGTGCACAGCAGGGGGCCAGCTGTGAGCCATCAGGAAGTGACAGCCAAGATGGCGGTGCAGAACATGAGAAGCCCTGTGAAGAATGGGCTGCATGGAAGAGTGCAGGCCTGCATGGGCTGGTAAGTACAGTTGCAAGAAAAAGTATGTGAACCCCTTGGGATTACGTGAAGTTTTGCATGAATTGGGCATAAAATGTGCTCTGAACGTCATCTAAGTCACAACAATAGAAGAACACAGTCTGCTGAACATAATACTACACAAACATTAGATGTTGCCATGGTTTAATTGCACATAACATGTAAACATTCACAGTGCAGAGAGGAAAAAGTATGTGAACCTTTGGACTTAATAACTGGTTGACCCTCCTTTGGCAGCAATAACCTCAACCAAACATTTCCTGTAGTTGCAGATCAGACCTGCACAACGATCTGGAGTAATTTTGGACCACTCCTCTTCACAAAACTGTTTCAGTGTAGCAATATTCTTGGGATGTCTGGTGTGAATCGCTCTCTTAAGGTCATGCCACAGCATTTCAATTGGGTTGAGGTCAGGACTCTGACTGGGCCACTCCAGAAAGCGTATTCTGTGCTGTTGCAGCCATTGTTTTGTTGAATTACTTGTATGCTTTGGGTCATTGTCCTGTTGCATCACCCATCCTCTGCGGAGCTTCAGTTGGCGGACAGATGGTCGTACGTTTTCCTGCAAAATGTCTTGATAAACTCTTGAATTCATTTTCCCGATCAATGACAACAATCTGTCCAGGCCCTGAGGCAGCAAAGCAGCCCCAAACCATGATGCTCCCTCCGCCATGTTTTACAGTGGGGATGAGGTTTTGATGTTGGTGTGCTTTGCCTTTTTTTCTCCACACATAGTGTTGTGTGTTTTTCCCAAACAACACAATCTTGGTTTCATCTGTCCACAGTATATTTTGCCAGTAGTGCTGTGGAACATCCAGGTGCTCTTTTGCAAACTTCAAACGTGCTGCAATATTCTTTTTGGACAGCAATGGCTTCCTCCGTGGTGTCCTCCCATGTACTCCATTCTTGTTTAATGTTTTCCTTATTGTAGATGTGTCAACAAAAATGTTAGCATGTGCCAGAGATTTCTGTAGGTCTTTAGCTGACACTCTGGGATTCGTCTTTACCTCATGCAGCATTCTGCGCTGTGCCCTTGCAGTCATTTTTAAAGTGACGACCATGCCTAGGGAGAGTAGCAACAGTGCTAAACTTTCTCCATTTGTAGACAGTCTGTTTTACCGTGGACACATGAACATCAAGGCTTTTGGAGATACTTTTGTAACCCTTTCCAGCTTCATGCAAGTCAACAATTCTTGATCGTAGGTCTTCTGAGAGCTCTTTTCTGCGAGGCATGGTTCACATCAGACAGTGCTTCTTGAAACCAGTAAACCCAAAACAGGTGTGTGTTTTTTTACGGGCAGGACAGCTGTCAGCAACACATCCAATATCATCACACTGATTGGAGTCAAGGTTGGCTCACTCCTGGCTCCAATTAGCTCTGGGAGAAGTCATTAAGCTAGGGCCTCACATACTTTTTCCTCCCTGCACTGTGAATGTTTACATGTTATGTGCAATTAAACCATGGCAACATCTAATGTTTGTGTAGTATTATGTTCAGCAGACTGTGTTCTTCTATTGTGACTTAGATGACGTTCAGAGCACATTTTATGCCCAATTCATGCAAAACTCCACGTAATCCCAAGGGGTTCACATACTTTTTCTTGCAACTGTATGTGTTTCTTAAAAGTCAAAGCTACAGTAACTGTAGCTGCTGACTTTTAATTTTCTCATACCCAGGTGACATTCCTCTTTAAGGTAATACACAGAACATATTTTGATAAGATTTTATTATGCGCCAATCACAACATTAAGTCCATCTCCAGCCAAAATGTCTGCTTTATTCGTTTTTAATAGAGTAAAGAAGGACCTGAACCCCTATTCAGTTCCAGTCTGGGACAAGACGTTACGGGGAAATCTCTCCAATGGAGTAGCTAACAGCAATGAAAACACTTTTTTTTAGCAAGATGGGAAAGAGTAAAAAGTAACTTTCACTAGGGAAATTTCTCCTCACTTCCTGTCCTATTTAGACCCTGTGTGGCAGCTTTAACTAGAATAGGAAGTGAGTGAAAATCTCCCTAGCTGCGAATCAAGCTTCAACAAAAAAGCAGAAAGAGTTTCTAAACCTTTCCCACTCTTTCCAAAACTAGAGAAAAAAGATTTGCCTTCAATGTGTACCTGTGGCTCTATTTTTGACAAATTATCAAACTTGTAATGGAAATTCATTTCCCCGCAGCACCATTCCAAACGCATTCTTTATCGATTCTCATGCTGATTTTGATTATTTGGTGACCTGAAACAGGGTTTGGTCACCAAAGTTCACAGCAGTGATATTGGTGCTCTCCAAATATACCATAACTCATACATAAGAGAGATATCACAGTTCTGTTTGATATTATAATAAGTTTTACAAGATGTAGTTAGCGGACATATTATTAGAATATATCAAATACAAAGTTGTAGCTAATTGTAAATACATTCAGATATAACTATACTATATGATATATATATGAATGTAAGCAGGGTACAATTTTTAATTAGTTAGGTGCTGCCCCGGACTGTAGGGTGAGGGTTTTTTCTTTGGCGGGTTTTCTGGGGTCCGACCCACTGCTCCTTGCACTATATAAAGTGAATAGTGGTTCGGAGCCAAGAGCCCTGGGGGTGTGCAAAGAGAGAGTGGAGTGACACTACGTCTTGCTAACATCCTTGAAGCCTGCTGCCATGTAGGGGAGTTGCTGAAACCCAAGGTTCCCCACTGAAGACACCAGCTATTGGAAACTGCCATGCAATGACATCTGTCACAGTGTGACTCTGCCTGTACAAGTATGCCAGGGCAGCACACAATCCTGTTGGACTCTGTAATGTTTTTGACATCTTTTCTAAGTAAAGCATTGAAGCTTTACCTTTTGACTCGTCTGAAGTCATTAAAGGAGTGTATTGCAAGTAACCAGCACTAGTCATAGTCTCCCACTTGGGTCAGTAGCACATTAGGTATGAAGACAGCACATGGTTACTAAGGATAATGGAAGTCAACAGTCAGTCAAGCCACCTGTCATTACGCATGTACCTGTGTCAGGCTGAATAGCCTCTAGCAGCGAGGGAGATGTTGTTGGCACTCCCTCTGTCAGCAGTCCACCTCCTGTAACAACGGGAGCAGACTTGCACCGCAAAGATCCCTATGCTAGAGAGGTAGAGAGTTAAGTCAAGTGCACATGCAGAGCCTGAGCTAGGTGCATGGTGGGGTTCCAAATTGAAGGACAGTTTTTCTGTAAGTGTACATGGTGCACGGCCATCTCTAATGTCAGTGGGCCACTTCAAGGTCGAGTATTCCCTGACGGTGGTCTCAGCCTTGTCCCTGGACATTGATGGAATCGGCACGAGCAAAGGTACTCCATTTGTAAGGAGAGTTACAGGTGCCCAGCATAGCCTAGAGGATCCCACCTCATGGGTAGGCTTCCTATGTGACCAAGACTTGGCGTCAACAAGGAGGGGAAGCATGGAGGAAGTACCATCTACCTACCCATATATATATATATATATATATATATATATATATATATATATATATATATACACACACACACACACATACAGAAGAAGAGAGAAAGAAATTGAGAGAGAAACAGACAGAAAGAAAAGGAGACAGACAGATTGAAAGAATGAGAAAGAGAGAGAAAGAAAGAGTGTGAGAGAGAGCATAGAGCAAAATGTGCCAATACTGAGGACATTAATACTTTTTATGAAAAAAATAACATACCACTGAATCGATAATGTAGCTGCATAAAAATACATCCACAGCAGTGTCTACAGCGTTTGCTATAGGTTTACATCCAGCAACATCCAAGGCTATCTGAAAAGAAATAGATCAAACAGATTAGGATGACTGGATTGGATAATGACAGTGAATATCAAACTTGAAATAGTAACACAAGCCTTGTAATCAAAGTATTTGTATAATGCGTATCCTACACACTGTTCACTGTATTGCATGCCACTAGTCTTTAATTTTCATGTTCAACAAAATTGTAGTAAGTCTGGATGAATGATGTGTTATGGGAAACAAAGAATAGAATTAGACATCAGGGACAGAAATTAACTCTCACATCAAAAGTATACACATGAATGAAGACAGACACAGTTTTTGTTTTTTCCAGCTGTATTTACTCAGTGCAACTTACAACATCCGAGTGAAAGTTCTAGCACCAACATGTCAGAAAAAAATAATTCAAAATTTAAAAACAGAATCACTAAGTTGGAAAAGAATCACCCCCTTGTGTCAGTATTTTGTTGAACCAACTTTTTCTTTAATTATAACTTTTACTCTGTTGGGATATGTTTCCACTAACTTTGCACATCCAGACTTTGCAATATTTGTCCACTCTTCGTTGTCATTTTTAGGAGGGGGTGATCCTTTTTCCAACTCAGGGATTCCGTTTCTATTTATTTATTTTTTTTCTGGCATATTGGTGTGATATCTTTCACTTGGTTGTTATAGGTTGCACTGAGTAAATACAGCTGGATAAAAACAGTGTGTCTTCATTTCAGGCTGCAAAGCAACAAAATGTGATTATTTTAAAAGGGGGGTGATTCTTTTCTATACCCACTGTGTATATATATATATATATATATATATATATATATATATATACACACACAAATAAAGGTTTCTGAAATATAACCTAATAACATAAATTAAACACTAGGAGCCCAAAGCTTTGTACCTTTGTCCTAATAAATGAGGTCTGTAACTGCAAAAGGCACTCGCAGAGCAGCAGTTTTGACTTATTGCTGGTCCAAATATAACATAAATAGTAATCAAGTTTTCCTGCTGCTAATCTTTACGGAAAAAACAAGTATACCCCTGAAAGGTTATGGAGTATCAGACTGAAAGAAACCGAAAATGAGGGCTGCCTTTAGACTCACCCTACCATCATTTGTCTAGTCAATACTGCCTTATTGGTCCTTATGCCCTATGTGACAGGAAGCCAGGAAGAACTAAAGGATGTGTCCAGGATGGGAGGTATATTTGTCCCAGATTCAAGCTCTACACTGACTGTTTCTCCTTTTGTGCTGTGTAGTGAACCTGTTTGGCTCACTGATGATTTAATGAGCTGTAGCAGGTTAAGGGCTCTGGGCTCTATAAAACTCCCAGGCTGCTTAGGGAGGAGGCTCCAACTTGGAACCAGTTTGCCGTGCAGGACAGACTGGGGAGCAACCAAACAATACTGTGTTGAGAGTAAATCTGTGCGATCTCGGACTGGGAGACGCTCTGTGTGAACACCCTCTGCCTGAGCAGCGGTAGGCTGTACCCAGACATGTAGATAGGAACCTGTATTTGCAGTTAGACGCCCAGTGTAGCAAGGATTTATTTTCTGTTTGTATTTTTTTTGCAGTTTTGAATATATGCACCGTGTGTTCACCAGTCTTGTAAATAAAACACAACTTTCTTCACCAAGATCCTGCTGTCGTGCTGAGCCTCTTTCACCATGCTCTGACTCATCCAGGAGGTAAAGCACAACCCGCTACTGGGCTAATCCCTCACACCTATTACATAGCAGCCATGGTTTATGTAAAAATAGCCAACACAGCTGTATGCAGTATGTAATAACTAGTTCATGAATATTAGGTGGCATCGTTGCTTTTATCAATTCTGGATGCAAAGCTGGCCTAAGGACTGACCAAAAAAGTCATATTGTTTTACTGCCACTTACCAATATGCAGGAAAATACATAAACAACAGATGGCCCAGGTACCCTGGGTGATAGAGCCTCCATCAGGCTTACTGCTGTCTGGGGAGATTCAACAAAGAGTGGTACAAGCATAATGGTTGCACTACTCTTTTTATATAAAAAAAGACTGAGCAGATGATGCTCCTATTTGACAAAAGGGATGCAAATCCCTTTGTTAATTAAGACTGATCTGCTCTATGTTCTATGCTGTGTCTGTGACAGACACAGCACAGAACAGTACAACTGGAGCTGCATGCTTTGATCCCTCATCACCGCCACCCGTTTTTCCTTTCCTGGTGCCAATCCATGGCAGCATACTACCACATGTATGCTGCCATGTTGGCACCAAGAAAAAAATATTAGCTTTTTTGCAAGAGGGCCAGTGGAAGGATAAAATAAAAAAAGTTGTAAGTTTAGTTCTGCTTTAACTGCAAACATAGTAAGTTATTTGTGAGTGTAAAATTGATAGGTATGTATTACCTCTCATAGTAAACACAGTAAACCCTAGTTATAATGCCTTTATTTCCTTTTCTGAAATGCCAATAATGCCTTTATTTCCTTTTCTGAAATGCCAATAATGCCTTTATTTCCTTTTCTGAAATGCCAATATCTAACACAGATCAGCTCCTGGCTGCAGCCTCTTACCTTGGTGACTTACCACAAAGTTACAATATTAGATATAATCTGTGCTAATGGAAAAAACAAATTATATACAGGTGAAACTCGAAAAATTAGAATTATCGTGCAAAAGTTCATTTATTTTAGTAATGCAACTTAAAAGGTGAAACTAATATATGAGATAGACTCATTACATGCAAAGCAAGATAGTTCAAGCCGTGATTTGTCAAAATTGTGATGATTACGGCTTACAGCTCATGAAAACCCCAAATCCACAATCTCAGAAAATTTGAATATTGTGAAAAGGTGCAATATTCTTGGCTCAAAGTGTCCCACTCTAATCAGCTAATTAAGCCATAACACCTGCAAAGGATTCCTGAGCCTTTAAATGGTCTCTCAGTCTGGTTCACTAGGAATCACAATCATGGGAAAGACTGCTGACCTGACAGTTGTGCAGAAAACCATCATTGACACCCTCCATAAGGAGGGAAAGCCTCAAAAGGTAATTGCAAAAGAAGTTGGATGTTCCCAAAGTGCTGTATCAAAGCACATTAATAGAAAGTTATGTGGAAGGGAAAAGTGTAGAAGAAAACGGTGCACAAGCAGCAGGTATGACCGCAGCCTGGAGAGGATTGTCAGGAAAAGGCCATTCAAAAGTGTTGGGGACTTTCACAAGGAGTGGACTGAGGCTGGAGTCAGTGCATCAAGAGCCACCACACACAGATGGATCCTGGACATGGGATTCAAATGTCGTATTCCTCTTGCCAAGCCGCTCCTGAACAACAAACAACATCAGAAGCGCCTTACCTGGGCTAAATAAAAACAAACCTGGTCTGTTGCTCAGTGGTCCAAAGTCCTCTTTTCTGATAAGAGCAACTTTTGCATCTCATTTGGAAACCAAGGACCCAGAGTATGGAGGAAGAATGGAGAGGCACACACTGCAAGATGCTTGAAGTCCAGTGTGAAGTTTCCACAGTCTGTGTTGATTTGGGGAGCCATGTCATCTGCTGGTGTTGGTCCACTGTGCTTCATTAAGTCCAGGGTCAATGCAGCCGTCTACCAGGAGATTTTGGAGCACTTCATGCTTCCTTCCACAGAGGAGCTTAATGGGGATGCTGACTTCATTTTCCAGCAGGACTTGGCACTTGCCCACACTGCCAAAAGCACCAAAACCTGGTTCAATGACTGTGGGATTACTGTGCTTGATTGGCCAGCAAACTTGCCTGAACTGAACCCCATAGAGAATCTATGGGGCATTGCCAAGACAAAGATGAGAGACATGAGACTGAACAAAGCAGAAGAACTGAAGGCCGCTATTGAAGCATCCTGGTCTTCCATAACACCTCAGCGATGCCACAGGCTGATAGCTTCCATTCCACACCACATTGAGGCAGTAATTGCTGCAAAAAGGGGCCCAAACCAAGTACTGAGTACATATGCATGTTTATACTTTTCAGAGGTCCGATATTGTTCTATGTACAAACCTTGTTTATTGATGTAATATTCTAATTTTCTGAGATTGTGGATTTGGGGTTTTCATGAGCTGTAAGCCATAATCATCACAATTATGACAAATCACGGCTTGAACTATCTTGCTTTGCATGTAATGAGTCTCTCATATATTAGTTTCACCTTTTAAGTTGCATTACTGAAATAAATTAACTTTTGCACGATATTCTAATTTTTTCGAGTTTCACCTGTGTGTATATATATATATATATATATATATATATATATATATATATATATATATATATATATATATATATAGGACAGCTAGCAAGGAACCAATACATATCAATTTACAGGTGCTGCATACATTTTGTGAAGTTACAATATTGTAGTGTTATCACTTTGGGAAAACAGATTAAGGAACTGTTTTCTCCTGCCTGGAGCAGACTGCTGTCATCTCAGCTGGCAAGTTAATTGACTGAAGAACTGATTTTAATAAGGTTACATCTATTTTAAAAACTGGTTTTATATGTCAAAAATGTATTCATTCAGCCATGGATAGTAGACCTCTTTAAGAAGCTAATGGGTGATCGATTTTGAATTGATCAACCTTTATATATGTTTAAGGGCCCTTTCACACTATGTATTTCCTTCATTTTTACCTTGCAAAATATAATGTTTCCTATGGGACTCTTTACACCATTGCGCTGCAGGTACAGTGCGTTTTGAAAAGTCCTGCATGCTGCATCTTTTGGTGAGGTTTTAGAAACCGCACCAAAAACACAGCTCCCCAAGCGTTTTGTATTTTTGGAGTGTTTTTGAGTCACGTCCATTTTTTAGAGGTGCAAGCAACCAAAAAATACAACAGAAATGCACTGGAAAGGCATCTGAAACACAGGATATGTGTTTATACCGCAATTTTTCTACAGAGCAGTGTGAAAGGCCCTTAAAATACAATAGTATAAGCAACCAATTATGCCTTCAAGTGTTCTACTTTTTAAACACAATTGGCCCTTCACTGTGGTGGACAACACAGTAATCAATAGTCAGGTTATTCATCATAATAATAGTGCAGCGCAACTCTCTAGGCTACCCACCCTTTTATCAATAATGAACCAATATCCGTGTGAACAATATATATGGTGTCTGGAGAGGTAAGGAAAAGCACTCAGTGAAAGGACTGGTTTTGCAGTCGTGCTAAATAGATAGGATGGGGTTCTGCTTTATGTCTGTTTTCTCCATTAACATAAAATACATACAGCACATTGCAATTTAACTATAAAGTATTCATATCAACATCCAAGAATGACAATTACTTACAGAATCTTTCACCCACTGCACATAATGCACAAAATAGCCGATGACTGTATCCATAAATTTCTTAGATTCCTAGGAGAAAAAAAAGGAAATTTTGAAATAAAGCAGTGATAATAACCTATTTATGTCTAGATAAAATGATTGTATGTTAGGCACTATCAGTAAGCTGTCCATATACCTTGCATAAGTAATCTCTGTGTATCAAAGCTCTGTAGTTGTTGCTTACCTAAACAATCCACTTGATTAAAGCCTAGTACACACAGGGCGAATGTCAGGCGGCATATGCCAGTTTATTAAAAACCGTCCGACATTCGGCTCGACAAAGGGACATAACCGAAAAAAAGTATGCCAATCGGCATCCAATCAGCATTCTCAGCTGATGGGTGAGAGCACTGACCAGTATGCTCTGGCAGGGAGCCATCCCTGTCAGAATACAATAGCTCAGCGGGGTAGATCGCTGTACTTACATCAGACTGTTGGATAAAAAATAACTGCTATTGTGTACCAGGCTTTAAATCTCAACAGGTAGACTCTCCTACCAGAGAGGGGTTAGTAGAGCTAAAGAAGATCATTCAGGCAGATTGCAAAGTGTTTGGCCAAAGAATATTGGATGAATGATCCTCCTTTTCTTGCATGCTAGTCTCTGTATCGAAAATGAAAAAGAGGTTACCCAACTTATCAAAATTCTCATACGACACCATAGAATTTTGGAAGTGATGTAATGTATTGTATGTGTATTGTATTTTCAGACTAAAACTGCACTGATTAAATGAAACTCGAACGATTTGAAATCGTACAAAAAAATTTTGGTGTTTGTCCCTTCAGATAATTTTGGATGATCTGTCGTGATTGGCTGTTGAAACCTGTGCACTAATAATCGATTGCTTCAAAAGCAGTATGTTTCGTACAATTTTCTGATCATGTGTACAAGGCTTTAAGGTTTTACTACATCAGGCAATAAAGATTATAGTGCCCTACCCATGGCCTTGGCTTGCTCAGCATAAAGCAGGCCATATACTGGTCGCAATTTGGCCAGTTTAGCAGGGACTGGAAGAATTTCAACCAGTGTATGGCCTCCCCTGCTTGACAGAAGTTGATCGTTTGATCGACTTCTGTCAAAGAGACATGCTGAATGTCAGCATGAGTCCTGCTGTCAGAAGACAATGTCCTGGCGAGGGGCATTCCTCCATCTGAGTAAATGGGGGAATCTCCAACATGCTGGTTGAATGGCCGAATTAAAAAAACTACCCTTCTATGGCCATTTTAAGTGAGATGGAAGGATTTTACATAGTGTCATCATGCAGAATCCTTCACATTGGACTCTGAAGCAGCTCATAGATTATGCAATTTTCTTTCCTTCCACCACGGGTTCAGAAGGCCCTGCTTATGAGTGCTTACAATCGAAAAGTAAGGAGCAAGTTATACAAAAGGTAAGGTGATAGTTGGACAGATTGGGGTAGGGAGTTTCAGAGGATGGGAGATACTTTTGAGAAGTCCTGGAGGTGAGAGTGGGAGAAGGTGATGAGAGAACTAGAGATATTTTGAGTTAGGGTTGGTGATGTATCTCAGGCCAGAGCTATGAATAGATTTTTATGTTGTTGTTGTTATTAGCATTCTGAATTCTATTTGTTGGGTGATTAGAAGCCAATGGAGGGACTGACAGAGAGAGATGGCACATACTGAGTGGTTGGCAAGGTGGATCAGTCTACCAGCAGCATTCATGACAGAGTGCAAAGGGGATAGCCTGTGAAAAGGTAGTAGACCAACTAGGAGGTATTTGCAATACATGAGGCAAGAGATCACAAAGGAGTAAATTAGTTTTGTGGTAACACTGGTTAAGAAAGGGCATATTTTGTAGTTGTTATGAAGGCTAGGGTGGCATGATTTGGACAGTGATTGGACATGGGGCCAAAAGGAGAGGTAAGAGTGCCAAATTACACCAAGCACTCTGGCATGAGAGAAGAGGCTCTGATAGTTGTGCCATTGATCTTCATGGAGAAGTCAGGAAAGTGGGCATGGGGGGGGGTAAATGAGCTCAGTGTTGGAAAACATTGAGTTTAAGGAAGTGGTGTGACATCCATACTGATATGTCTCTTAGTATATTAGTAATGCGCAAGGAGAGGAGACTAATGGAGTGAGCAGAGAGGTAGAGAGATAGATGTTGGGTGTTGACAGCATGGAAATAGTATTGGAAGCCATGGGAGACTTCTACCAAAAGAACATCTCTGCTTGCAAATTTTTGTATTAAAGATTTTGTTCTGCTTTAAGTAAGAGACAAACACATTAAATCCCATGTCCAAATAACACTTTTTAAGCAGTTACAGAGACATTTTTTTTTCTTTTTAAAAAAAAAAAAAAACATTTGAAATATCCACTTTAGCTCTGGAAGATTTTACCCCCTTCATGACCACTATAAATGGTAATTGCGTGGCCATGCAACGCTGTACCCAGACAAAATATATATCATTTTTTCACACAAATAGTGCCTTCTTTTGGTGTTATTTGATCACCACTCAGTTTTTTATTTTTTGCAATATAAACTAAAAAAATGTTGAAACAAAAATTTTTTTTACTTTCTGCTAAAAAAACATATTCAAAAAAAAAATTTTTTAATTAAATTTCTTCATACATTTTGGTCGAAATGTATTCTGCTATATATCTTTGATGAAAAAAATCCCAATTGTCTATTAATTGGTTTGCATGAATGTTTAGAATCTACAAACTATGGTATATGTTCTGGAATTTTTAATATACTGCTAACGGTGGTGATCAGCGATTATAAAGGGACTGCGATAGTGAGGTGGCCAATCTGACACTGACGATGCAGGGGAACTGACTAACTGCTACCAACATCATCAGTGACATTAATACAGTGATCAGTGATAACACTATACACTGTCCTTGTACTAATGACACTGGCTGGGAAGACGTTAACATCTAGGGCGATCAAGGGGGTTGACTGTATGCCAACCAGTGTGTAATGTGTGTATTATGTATTCAAATTGCTAACTCTGACCTACAAAGCCATTCACAATGCCGCCCCAAACTACCTAACCGACCTGATACCCAAATACCACCCTACCCGCGCCCTTCGCTCCTCACAGGACCTCCTACTCTCTAGCTCCCTTGTCTCCTCCTCCCACACCTGATTGTAGGACTTCTCCAGGACTTCTCCCATCCTTTGGAACTCCCTACCCCAATCCATCAGACTGTCACCTACCCTCCTCCCCTTCAGGTGCACCCTGAAAACCCATCTCTTCAGGGAAGCCTAACCACCCTCACCTAACAATGGATCTCCTCCACTTCTCCCACCACTCCATCCCCTACAGCCACTTCCTCCTGTACCACTATCCACTCCCTCCTAGATTGTAAGCTCTAAAGACCAGGGCCCTCGAACCCCGCGTGTATAGTATTGTTACTGTCTCGTCTCATGTTCTGTCTCCCTTGCTATTGTACAGCGCTGAGCAAACCCTTTGGCACTAAATAAATACTGTATAATAATAATAATAATAATGTGCTGCTGTCACTAAGATATCTCTTTGTTTCTTATCTCTACTTTGCAGGGATGAGAAACAGTGAGATCGATCCCTCTGTGCAGAGCCCTGTATTGAAAGTCAACACAGGGCTGTGGGCTGTGATTGTACACAACTGATCAGCAGGTCCAGACTATGAATTATTGGCTGGGACTTGCTGAAAGCTTCCTACTGTGTACAATCATAACGAGTGTCGGCAGGGGGTGAAGTGGGGGAGTGGGCACACCCTCTAAACCTGGAAGAAGGCAGCGACGTGCCAGTATGTCGCTTTACTTGCATGGGCCATCTGTCCGCAGCACATTATGGGTGAGCGGTCCGCAAGTGGTTATAGTAGATCTAAAGTCTCCCTTCTAAAAACTGCGAACTGGTTGGCTAAAAAGAGCCATACAATGTCTCTTCTGTGATAAAATAATCCTACATGTCTGCTGGCAATCTTCTTTAGAATGTACATTGAGCTGCACAGCTCAGTTTAAATTTTGGTACAGATCCTGTGTGCCATGGTGACTGAACATCTGGACATGTGCAAGAATGAAACCACCCCACACTGACCAATGAAGACTGCTGCATCTCATGGCCTAGAAGCTGGGTAAAAGATGCTTGCCAATCATTGAAGGAGAGGTAAGAATTGTGAACTTTAGTTCCACTTTAAAGGATCATTTCACCTTTGGGAACATATTACAGTTCCACCCATTTTTAGGGTGGAACATGTAACATGTTCCCAATGTTGCAGCCTGATCCCCAGTGGTGTATTTAGGTTTTGTGCTGCCCTAGGCAACACAAAAATTGTCAGCCCCCACAAACACCAACCAACACAACCCTCCCTTCCCCCTCCTGCGGAGAAAGCCTGACATTGACCAACAACACCCCTCCCCCCAATCAGGAGCCTTCTACTTACCTCCCCCCCCCAGCAATAGAGAGACACTCATCATCACAGCTTTGGACATCCCCAGGAATGAGAGTCAAGATCTACATACACCATGAAGCAGCCCGCAGTCTCTCATGGTTCCCACCAGATTCCCATGTTGCTTGTGTCCCTTATTTCATCCTTTCTTCAGGGGGGAGGTGCTGCCCCCTGAAAAATGCCTCCCTAGGCAAGTGACTTGTTTGCCTTGTGGTAAATACACCCCTGCCCATTCCCCCATCCCTGTGACAGCAGGACAGAGAGCAATTCCTTGTCCAAGCTGTCACTTTTTAAAAACAGCGCGGCTGTGTAAGGCTCCACCCACACGGCTGCATCATTCCATTCGCAGAGTTCGGTGAATTGATGAACTACAAGTCATGACAGCCATTGAGGCTGTTGGCTTGTAGTTCTCCATGAATTACCATGGCGCTGTAATTGTTCCTGTCAGTATATCTGCTTGCCCGGAACACCTGCATGGCACCAGTGATCTTCTGATCGCTGTTGCAATGCTTTACAAGCAACAAAAATAATAAATGCACATTTTTTTACCTGCAAAAAAATGTGCATTTATTATTTTTGGTCAAAAGGTGAACTTATCCTTAAGGCTTGGTTCACATATGTGCAGGTGGTGCCGCTGCGAATCCGCACGAAAATCAGTGCATCCCCACCACCCACACAGAGGAATGCGGACCCGTGGGCGGGTGCCATAAGTTCCGATGGCACGCCGCCCACATTGGAAAACACAACCGTACTGGGAACCAAGGTTCCCGTGCAGGCTGCGTTTTCAGAAGAAGTGCAGGGACTTCTTCCCTACGGGGCATGGGAGTCCATTGAAATGAATGGGCTCTCGTGCCAGCGCAAAACGCGGCCCGCACGGCCGGATATATGTGAACCAGGGGTGAAAGTTGACCCATGGACCCATGGAAGCCTCTGTCAGTACACCTGCAATTATCACTTTTGCTAGACAGCTTAGCCTGTTCAAATACATGGCAAATAATGAATATATTGGCAAGATTAAGAGTTAGACAAACAGAAATGAGTGATGTGTTCACCAACAATTCATTCAGGTCAGTTTATGGTGGAACAGCTCTTTAGTGAAAGGTTGGATCACAAGACCTAGTGATATCACCACACTCCTACTGATTAGACTAAATAAATCTAATTGTACCTGCTTTATGATTGTAGATGCATTATTGTTGATCAGCATTTGTGCTGCATCAATGGATGAGATGACATCAAGCACCTTTCCCTGGAAAAAAAAAAAAATCAATATATACAGCCTGGCATTGATTGATGTAAGTGATGACAGCCTTATTTATCTTAAAGTGCATTTCAACTCTAACATCTCCCTTTAGGTCTGTTAAATATACCATTGAATGTTTTTTTATCACTTATGGTTGACAAAGTAGTTGTTCATCGTGCCAGAAATGGTGTGAGCTGATAAATTCCTGTGTGCTCTGCCTTTGGACTGGTATGAGTTACTATTGTTCCCTGCTATGCCTGTGGTCTACAAAACAATTCCCCCTTTTATGAAGAAGAGTTAGAGGTGTTATGTAGACCGAGCACAGTGTTACGAAGTTCCAACACACTCCCTGTCCTAGGGTGACAGCACTGCTCAGTACGGTTGTCACCCCAGGTCAGGAAGTGTATTATTGACAAGATTACCAGATTAAAATAAAGGAAGGAAAATTTGAAAAAAAAAAAAAAAGCATTCCGCCACCACATCCAAACACTGGTAAGAGGCAATACTATCAGTACGCTTAAACGAACACTTTCTACATTTTATACACCTATATAAACCACCTGTCACTTCTGCATCAAACAAGATTCTAAAAAGACAGCATACATAAACATGATTTACATGGGCCATTTTGTATTATTTATCATTTGATCTAAGGTGAAATTCTTGGCTGATCTTCATTTGTAATCACAGTGATGATAAACTGAAATACAATCCCCTGCATGTTCAGGTTTTGAATTAGTATGTGTCAAATGATGTCTGCATTTTTCTTTTATGTTCTGCCAACAGGTTTTGTCAGAGTAGACAGCCCATGTTTACAAGCAGATCCAGGTACAAATAAAATCAGTCAGTGAATTGCTAGGGCTCCAGGTACACACGTACGGGGGCATCAAACTCATAGTCTAATACAGGTTACAGCTGTCCCACATAGATAATACATGTATATGGCCAAAATGAGGTATACATTACTAATCAGATAACAGCATTTTATTTACATTTGTTTTACATTTATTTTTCATTTACATATTTCTTTTACTTTACTGATATTTGGTCAAATGTAAGTTCATAGAACTGATGCGGTCATGTTTAGGGTCTTAGATTCAAGATCCCTAGAACCTGTCTCTTAAAGTGGTTGTAAAGGCATGACATTTATTTTTACCTAAATGCATTCCCTGCATTAAGGTAAAAAAGGATCAGTATTTGTATGCTTCCCTACCTGGATTCTCAGTTGATCCAGTGCTGTGCCCATCTGTATTGGCTTTCTCCTCACTCCCAACATTTGTTAGGAGCCATTCCTGCTATCAATTAAAGTGGGGGAGGGGAGTGGGCTGAGTCACGCAGTGCGTGTTTAAGGACGCACGCAGCCCGGCGTGGGAGCAAGGGAGCAACATGCACCCGAATAGGAAGTGGCTTCCTATGGTGGTGCTTGGAGAAGTGGAAGAGTCAACAGCGCCGGTGGGGGACTCCAGAAGAGGTGGTGAAGAGAAGTTTCCTGGACTGTAAAGTGGATATACCGCATACTGTATATATGTCCCAGTTTTTAAAGTGACAATTTCAGGTTCAGTCTGTAGGCATTTATTAGTTTTATTAAACTAGGTATATCTGAAATAGATTTGCACTTATTTATAGAAGTTCTCTTGTAATTTTCTTTTTAATGTTAGAAAATGTCCTCTATATTGTTACATTGTGTGCCAATGACATCTCTGTCCTTCCTGTAACAGTCATGTGTCATGTGTTTATCAGTGGCTAGGGCAATGGTTAGAGGGAGAGAGAGATGATGAATCACCTACTGACTTTTTTCCAAGTCAAAATTTGCATATCAGCAAAATGATTTTTCAGGCCTGTCAACAGGCTCTCGGTTTGTGTGAATGGCATCGGCTTGAGATGCTTCTGAGATCATTCAGAACTCATTGACAGGTGCCTTTAACCTGCAGTAGACCTGCTTCAAGCAGTTGGATTCTCAAATACTTGTATGGGAAGGCAATACCCATTTGAAGAGAACAAAATCTTGTAGCCATTGGCCCTTAGGCCAATTAGGTTACAGGTTTTGAGGAAAGCAATGCTTTTGAAACAGCTTATATTTGTCCACCATTAGGCCCAACATAATTGGTCCTTATGAGTTACCTATGCAATCATTGCATTTTGTAATGTCTTATAAATAAGCCCCATTGAGTGTAACAATATTATTGTTTTTATAAGGATTTTCAATACAAGTCATACTGCAGATAGACGCAAAAATAACCTGGTAACAATTTTTTCTGCACAAAATTTGTCTTGTATTAGGGATAACTGGGCTTATTCTGTAAAATAATGCAAGGAGCAAAAGTGCAAAACTGACTGATAAGCTGACTAGTGTGGCAAAAGAGATAAAAGGGTCATAAGTACAACAGCAATATATATATTCTGCTGTTCACATGCATTCTAAAAAAAATAAAAAGAAAAAAGAAATCGTTTTAAAATTAACGTTTATATGATCACAATTGCTGGTGACATACCTCAATGTCAAACGACGTCCTCTCCAACAACTTAATACTTTGAGTCAGATCACTCTGAAAAATATAAAAATGTACAATATTTGGGTAATTGTTTACACTGATATACACTTCTATAAACATAAAGCTTACATAGAAAATGATTGTAGTAAAAAATATGTATTAAACATCAAATTTTAGTAATCAGATGTGATTCCGGGCTTCCTTCAAAAATATTTGTTGCTTGGCTGTGAAAGGTAGGCTGGGACATTTCTATTTCTGGCATGATGTTTTTAGTGTATTTTTAGAGTGATTTTTTGGCCCCACCTCCAGCACCTTGCTGTGGCACCTTTGTATAGCGTAAAGCAACCTTTTTCAACCGAGGTGCCTTCTGGGTTCTTCAGGGGTGCCTTGTCAAAACGCATAAAATATGTCCAAACCAGCAGGTGGATCATGCCTGCCTTTTGTTACACAAAGCAATGGGTTTCATTGTGCAACATTACAACCTTGGGCACTGTGCAGGCCAACTGCCAGCATCCTAGCAAAATCATTGGTTGAAAAGGAAGACATAAGGTACCTTTACAGCATCTTTTTTGACCCCCCACCCCCTGCCTTTTTCTTTCAGCACTGCAGTCATGTTAGCTGCCAAGGGGAAATAAGATGAGGAAAAAGAAAAGCTGGAATACCAGCCAGACACCAACATAAATCCCCTCTCATGTTGGGTGATCTACATGTGTGGAGCCTGCCCTATGTATTAGTTTAGTTTTTTACATTTTAGAATAGGGTGCCTCAAGATTGCACCTAATTTTGAAGGGTGCCTTGAATGGAAAGGTTGAGAAACATTGGCATAAAGGCAAAGAGTTTCAGGTATCAAAGTTTGGCATGATGTTCTGAGATGCTCAATGAAAGGTAAAACTTGAATAGCCAACTTTTTTACTTTGCCATGGCTGCCTTACAACAGGCAAACAGCTACCAGTCAGTCATTACAGTGGACCTTTAAGTGTTCCTGTGAGGCAATAAATGGAGAACAGTAGTAAAATGAAGGCACCTAGAGGTTATAGGAGGCAGGGGCGGACTGACAACTCATGGGGGGGATCATGGGGCCCCTGTGTCCTTGCCCAAACTCAAAAAAGCCTATGAAAGATGTACCAGGGGCATCTCATGGGGCCCCCTACTGACCCTGGGCCCTCGGGCAGTGCCCGAGTTTTCAAATGGTCAGTTTCACCCCTTATAGGAGGTCACCCACTGGATACCAATAAGAAACCAACAGTGGAGGTAAGGGGAATAAACAGACATGGCACCAAACTTTGGAATCAGCCATAAAACAACAATGCAGACCACATACAATATGGTCAGTAATCATGCTGCTTACCCTAGCTTTAACATATTTCTTGAAAGGCAGGGAGGAGAAATAAGAGAGATATATCAGATACATAACAAAAACAAACTAGTTCACAGCATAGTCCTGAGCATATCATATTAAAATTGAACATACAAGCTTGCGTAATCATATTACAGCCCTAAAGCTAAACTAAGGCATTTCCTTTATAAATGGAACAATACATTCCCTAACAGGTACATGCAATCACAGTGCAGGGATTGAGTGACAATACTCCATTCATTATGGAATCCATTACCACCCAGAGGAAAACTGGGCTGTGTGCACAAAGGTTTATACAACTGTAAGAATGGAGATGTGCCTTTCAATATAGTGTGCATGCTGCAATGACAACATCTGTAATCTTTGGGGATGTTAAAGTGGCCATACTCAACTAAGAACACAACATGGTGAGAGATTTGCCCATGCTTGTGATGAACATAGACCAACCAAGGCTGGCAGCACTATGTGGAAGAAAGAGATTGATTGACAAACATGAGCAACAATCATGTATTTGTCTTGGTGGAAGCCCCCAATTCCTAATGATCCAAAGTCATACCAAAATCAATCACATGACAAAAAATAGTCCATGCATTGCCACTGTAATGTTAAGTTTCATTGAAAATGGGAAGGTTCCTTGCCACAACAGTTAATCAGAATTCCTGTAATTTTTTCCATAACAAAAAAGTAATACTTATTTTTTTGGTTCTCATTTAATTTTAAATAAGTGGTTGATATAAGCTACCCCTGCTATGGTTCACCGTAACTGTACACTATGAAAAAGGTATCATGCTAACACTGCTGGATTTTCTATGACAGAGGTGTGCATACAAAGCACAATGTGTGCATAGTTCTGACTATGATGTCATTCAGTTAGTAGAAGAGATCATGGGACCTGGAGCATATTCAAAAGGTAAGTAACCCATTTACACCAATGCTGGGGCTTCCAAATCATACCAATGATTGGAAACTATTCCTCCCACTGACAAAAATGATGGGAGAAACTATTTCTCCTACTGACTCCAATGATGGGACACTATTCCTCCCACTGGCACCAACAATGGGGAAATTATTCCTACCATTGATGCTAATGATGGGGCATATTTTTCCCACCGACAACAGCAATGGGGGAATTTTTCTTCCCACTGACACTAATGATAAGGGAAGTATTCCTCCCACTGATATCAATGATGGGGGAAATATTCCTTTGAAGTGGTACCAATGATGGGGGAAATATTTCTTTGAAGTGGTACCAATGATGGGGGGACTATTCCTCCAAATGACAGTAATAATGGGGCAATTATTTCACTGACACCACTGCTGAGGCAGTATTTATCCAACAGATACCAATAATAGGGAACTATTCCTCCCACTGGCACCAACCATGAGGCACTATTCCTCTTACTGACAACGATGGAGCACTATTCCTCCCATTGAAATCAAGGATGGGGGACTTATTCCTTCCACTGATGCCAATGGTGGGAGAACTATTTCTCCTACTGACTCCACTGATGGGACAGCATTCCTCCCACTGACACCAATGATGGGGAAATTATTCCTCCCACTGATGCCAATGATAGGGCATATTTCTCCCACTGACAACAGCAATGGAAGAACTATTCCTGCCATTGACACTCATGATAAGGGAAGTATTCCTCTCACTGATACCAATGATGGGGAAAATATTCCTCCCACTGATACCAACGGAAGGGGAACTATTCCTCCAAATTACAGTAATAATGGGGCAACTATGTCTCTCACTGACACCAGTGCTGAGGCAGTGTTTATCCAACTGATACCAATAAAATGGAACTATTCCTTCTATTGGCACCAAGCATTAGGCACTATTCCTCCCACTGGCACCAACCATGAGGTACTATTCCTCTTACTGACACCAATGATGGAGCACTATTTCTCTCACTGACATCAACAATGGAGCACTATTGGAGTACTGACATTATTGATATGGGATAAATTCCTTCCACTGACACCAATGATGGGGGAGAACTATTCTTCTCATTAACACTGGGCCATTTTTACTCCCACTGACCACTTCATTAAAGACATTTTTAATTCTCACTGACCTCAAAATGCACCTCCCCCCCAAGAATTTGATGAACCTTGGTTCAGAAAGTTTGAATATTTCTTATCATATTGAAGGCCATAAAACAACAACGTTGGGAAACACTGCTGTAAATATTAAATATAAAAATATAACTATTTGCATTTAGTAGACAAACCCAAAATCCATATGGATTTACCATTGTCTGCTCCATCGGTACAATCTGCTGAATATGTATCATCCGTATACTATTAGCGTGTCCTTTTAAAGCATTTCCTAATGCTCCTTTTGGCTAAAAAAAATAATAGAAGCAAAGTTCTGAGACAAAAGACATTTAGTTATTTCTAGCAAGCATGACAAAAATGAGGAAATATACTGATGCAATGTTTTAGTGCACACGTTATTTTCACAAATGACATATAAAACAAATGGCTACAATTAATGAAATGTTAGTAAATGATTGTAGCTGCCCTGTAAAACAATTTTTTATATAATACATTAAATGGTAGATAGTTTTTGTTCTCTAAGTAGGATGGGGAAAGATTAGAACATCTGTCAGGTTTTTTATTTCTGTCTATACCCCTATTGGAGATTTCTCCTCACTTCCTGTCTCAGTGACACCTACTGCATTGCTGTGAAGTGAACTTTCTCATTCTTTAGTCTGAAGCCCATTCTCTATATATGGAGAATTCCCCACAGCAATATATATAGAGATTTCAATGGAGAAGTCACTCCTTGGAAGAGAAACAGGAAGAAGTTATCTAGACAGAAAGTGAAAGGTGATGCCTCCAATGGGGACAGTAGTAACAATCCAATAGAGAATCCATCACTCTCCAATTTTATTCAAACATGACCAAATGACTGAATATACATTTTAAATGTAAGTACAGAACTTGCAAGTGTCAGTTTATCCATTGCTGGAGCACTAAATCACTCCTTTTTCTACCTAAGGCTCTGTTGGTATCTTGACACTTGAGTTCTCAGCTCCATTCTCCCATCACAGATATTAGAAAAGGAGTTGCTCTCTTCCTGCGGAATTCTCTTTGTGTTGTAAGTTACAGAAAATGCAGGAAAATGAATGAGACTCTGGGGTCAAATTACTTAAGGCAAATAGATTGTGCACTCTGCAAGTGCAGTTGCTCCAAAGCTTAGTACATGAAGTAAAGCTTCACTTTACCAAAAATACCCAATTACATGCAAAGAAAATAATGAAAAAACAGCATTATTTTGCACATGATCGGATGATGGAAGTCAGCAGCGCTTCCCTTCATTTACTAAGCTCTGGAGCAACTGCACTTGCAAAGTGCTCAGTCTATTTTCCTTCAGTAAATCAACCTCTAAAAGTTGAGTGAAGAGCTCAGGATATAGAAGAGTGGTACAGTCCACCAGGTTTTACCCATATCTGAAATCACAATTTTGATGGGGCTGATCCTTTATTTAGAGGAAACTTTGTAAATATCCAATTTACTGACAGATACAAAGAATATTAGTGATTATGCATTAACAAAAAATGGTTGTTATTTGAAGACAACATGAAAGCAAATGTTAGAGCAATTCGAGTATACAGATGTAGCTTGTGTTGTGAAACACGTTGGATATACTGTATAATCTACACTATATTGCCAAAAGTATTGGTCGACCTGCCTTTACATGCACATGAACTTTAATGGCATCCCAGTCTTAGTCCATAGGGTTCAATATTGAGTTGGCCCACCCTTTGCAGCTATAACAGCTTCAACTCTTCTGAGAAGGCTGTCCACAAGGTTTAGGAGTGTCTATGGGAATGTGTGACCATTCTTCCAGAAGTGCATTTGTGAGGTCAGGCACTGATGTCGGAGGAGAAGGTCTGGCCCGCAGTCTCCACTCTAATTCATCCCAAAGGTGTTCTATTGGGTTCAGGTCACTTGCTCTTTTTTCTCGTCGGACATGCATACTGCATGATAAAAGGATCAGAAGAAGAAGGAGGAAATGTGTGGATGCAGGTGCCTAGGTTCCATTTTGTTTATTTTATCCCAATAACATCAGATTGCGAGTGTGCATACACATAACAACACCCGTGTGCAGATAGAACCTTTATCTGGAAGAGTCAGGACAGCTATATGCAGCCCAAGCCCCTCCCGTCTGATGTCTTTTGTGATCAAATAGCACGGCAAAGCCAACACAAACTCACCAACATGTCTGCATCTGCTTCCAATTCATTGGCAAACGCTAAGAGATCAGCTTTTGTACTGCTTTTCCCCACCTGTGAAATAGAGATGAATACATATTTAGCAATGTTGGAACAAAGACAACAGTCCATGAAGCGTAATCGGGTCTCATAGAAATGCATCTATTTCCCAGTAGCTGCCGAAGAATTCTACATCTTCAATAACAAAAAAAAAAAACGTATATGATCAAAGTAGAACCTCAGCCAAAACTTAATTTTTAAAAGGGTAAGATTTAGGCCTGGTTCATACCTATGCGTGTTGCAATCTGTTGCGGGAAAAATAGTGACCTTTCCAAAAACGCAGTAGCTGAAAATGCATAGATGTGAACCTGACCCATAGGAAACCATGTTAAATGGGCTGTAGCGTGTTTCTGAAAAATGCAAAAAGCACTAACGAGCTGCATAAGTGAGAACCAGGCCTCAAAGTGTTACTAAGCCCAGGACCTGTATTCACTATATCTGGTCTCCCACAGTACACACAACATGGAAATGCTATTATTTTAGTAATTATAAGCTAAATACCTTTTCTCATCAGCAATTAGAGCAGTCTTGTGACTTATATCAGTGTTCAGCAGAGCACTGGGTAAAGCTTGTAGGAGGAGTTTTCTTTCTGCTCTAGGAGGATGCAAAAACCCATGACCTCTGACTGACCAGTGCTGATTGGCCCTGTGCTGATCACATGCACTCTCCCAAGAAAAAAAAAACCTCTCTAGTAATACACACCAAACTGAGCATGTGCAAAATGCCTACAGTTCAGTCTGTCTTATCAGGAGATAAGAGGTGGTTCCTTAAACAAGGGGAGGAACACAGTAATCAGGATCAAACGGCCTTATTACACAATGTAGAGGATTAACCCCTTAGTTTCCACAGTGAGTATAGAAAACATGCTTTACTGCATATACAGACTGATTTTACTGTTGTGGGTTTAGTAACACTTTAAACCTCAATAGGTTTTATTGCTGTTGGTGTCCCCATGAGGGAGATGTCTTTTTATTTACTGTCCTCATGACACAACAAGATGGAAGGAGAAATCTCCTCAGTGAAGACACAGACAATTAAAACTTGCAAGGGTTCTAGAAGTTGTGTACTAACGTGAACGGTAAGATTTAGCTCCTGCACCCAACCCAGCTATATGATATGAAACGTGGAAATGTGTTTCAACCTCCATACATACTTCTGATAGAAATGCGTCAAAGTCTATGCCATCAATTCCCGTTGCACTGAATTCCAGTAAGTTCTTTTTTCCTTTATCATCAAGCAACACAATGCTGTTCAGGTTGATATTCATTGTGTCAATCCGTTCTGATATTTCATCTACATACTAAAAAAAAAGGAAAAAATAAAGAAACCATCAAATACTGGTTACAGTATTTTTAGAGGTCCATGGCCATCCATGACTGCTTTTTCTTTATTTCGAGCAACAAAACATCGAGTAGAAACTGAATAAAATTTATTAAGGAGTTGGGGTACTTTCCATTAATATCCACCCAGTTTTTATCATTTGGTCACAGGAAGCTAGGAAACCGTTTGGCTGAAAGCTGATTGTAAGCCTTGACTTGTTATGTCCAGCATAACACCACGGACCTGTACAGATACAGTAACTGCAATTGTATCTGAATACCTAATTTATACATTGGCAATATATTATAAATTGCAATTAACTAAAAACAAAATACTTGACCAGGCCATTTTTGCTATTCGGCACTGCACTGCTTTAACTGGTAATTGCGCGGTCATGCAATGCTGTACCCAAACAAATTTATATCATTTTTTTTACTCAAATAGAGCTTTCTTTTGGTGGCATTTGATCACCACTGGGTTTTTTATTTTGTGTGATAAACAAAAAGACTAAAAATTTTGAAAAAAAACCCTAAACAATATTTTATCACTTTCTGCAATAAAACATGTCCAATAAAAAAATTTAAACAATTCTAATTTCTTCATCAATTTTGGCCAAAATGTATTCTGCTACATGTCTTTGGTAAAAATTAAATCTCAATAAGTGTATATTGATTGGTTTTCGTGAAAATTATAGTGTCTACAAACTATGGTTTATATATTGGATTTTTTTAACTCTACTAATGGCAGTGATCAGCGACTTATACCGGGACTGTGATAGTGCGGCGGGCAAGATGACACTAAGTGATGCTGCAGGGGGAACTGACTAACTGCCATCATCAGTGACACTAACAGTGATGAATGATAATACTATACACTGTCACTGTACAAATGACACTGGATGGAAAGGGGTTAACATCTAGGGTGATCAAGGGATTAAATATGTGCCTAACAAGGTGGTGTGTGTAATGTGTGCTGCTTTTACTAACAGATCTCTTTTTTTCTTATTCCTACTTTGCAGCAATAAGAAACAGAGAGATTGTTCCTTCTGTACAGAGCCCTGTTTTGATTGTCAACACAGAGCTCTGGGCTGTGATTGGACACATGCGATCAGCAGGTCTTGGCCATGAATCATTGATCGGGACTTTTTGACAGACTCCAGCTGTGTACAACCACAGTGGGTGTCGGAAGGGGGGTGCGCATGTACACACCCTAAACCCAGAAGCAGGCAACAATGTACCAGTATGTCGCTTCGCCCACACGGGCCACCCGTCTGCAGTACATTGTGAGCAGGCGGTTCTTAAATAGTTAAAGCAACCTCTGATATTAACCTTGTATTGAACCTATGTCAACTTACACTTCAACACCAGAAGTGTGCAACACGTAGGCTGTTGTGTCAAGTTTGGGCTCACAATTGCATTTTGAGGCATTTTAAAACCAATTGAATAGATTGGGTTCCCTTTCTCATCGCTCTGATGTACCTAAGACAGGAAATTAGTGTGTTTCTACACCAGGGGTCTCCAAACTTTCTAAACAAAGGGCCACTTAATGTCCTTCAAACTTTAGGACGGCTGGACTGTGGCCTATTGGAGTGGAAAATGCCTCAGCATCAGTGGGAGTAAACATTGCCTCAGGCTTGGTGGTCAGTGGGAAGAATAGTGCCCCATTGCTGGTATTAGTGGGAAGAATAGTGCCCCATTGCTGGTATTAGTGGGAGGAATAGTGCCCCATTTCTGGTATTAGTGGGAGGAATAATGCCCCATTGCTGGTATTAGTGGGAGGAATTGTGCCCCATTGCTGGTATAAGTGGGAAGAATAGTGCCCCACCATTGATGACTATGGGAGGAATTATGCTCCATTGTTGGAGTCAGTGGGAGGAACAATACTCCACTGTTGGTGTCAGTGAAAGGATTTTGTTGGTGTCAGTGGGAGGAATAGTGATTCATGTCAGAGGGATAAATAGTGACACAAGGGCCAGATAAAGGCAAGCTAAGGACTGCATCCAGCCCACAGGCCGCAGTTTGGAGTTGACAGTTCAGATTCTGAGATTATAGAGGCCCCTTTGGCAATAGAAATATTTATTCTTTCCATGTGATTTTCAATCATTACCCAAACTGCAGATTATCACACTTTGCACATTTCAAGTCTCTCAGCTATCATGTATTGGTGTAACACAACAATTCCATGTTTAGCGATAAAGTCCTTGACTCAATTTTTGCAAATCTGCAAGGAGTCTCCCCTTATTTGCCAGGGGTTCTTCCCACAAGCTGAAGACCAAAATATACTGGAGATAACAAGAAATGTGAAGTGAGAGAAACATGGAGGCTGCCATTGCTGACTTCTCTCTGATAAGCTGTCTCTGAGTGTCAGACTGACTCACTGGCTTCACTACTTTCTAGGTCATTAGTATGAAGAAGTATGCAGATCAGGAACAGGGGCGGACTGACCATTTGGAAACTCGGGCACTGCCCGAGGGCCCGGGGTCAGTAGGGGACCCCATGAGATGCCCCTGGTACCTTTTTCATAGGCTTTTTTGAGTTTGGGCAAGGACACAGGGGCCCCATGATCCCCTATTGCCTGGGGGCCCCATGAGTTGTCAGTCCCCCCTGATCAGGAATAAACATTTTCAGAGTTCAGGAATAGCTGCCTTTGTATTTCTCTCAGCACAGGCTTCCTTTAACTGGTAACTGCCAAACATTACTCCTAGGGGGTGTGTCAAATTGCAAGCTCTTCCAGGGCAGGGACTTCTGCCAATGATTAAATGGTCTCTGTAAAGTGCTGCTCCACATGCCATAATATTTAAGTAAAATGAAACAAATACTGCTACAGAGCATCCTAATCATTGTATGTCACTCTTGTCATAACATAAAATACTATTCAGCACAACAATTATTCTTACCATGCTGATGTTGAGGAATTCATTGAGATTAAAAAGATTATCAATCTGAAGTGCAGTAAAAATGCCCTTGTTTTCCTTGCAGTCACTAAAACAAGATAAAAAAAAATTAATAGGCCATGACATAATAGATAAGACTGCTTTGTACTATTATTCATAACTGGTTTCCACCAGCACAATGGTGGATTTACTAAAACAGGAGCACACAGGATCTGGTGCAGCTGTGCATAGAAACCGTTCAGCTTCTAACTTCAACTTGTTCAATTAAAGGATAAATTTACATTTTGACAAAAAAAATAATAAATACACATTTTTTTTTTTGCAGGTAAAAAAATGTGCATTTATTATTTTTTGTTGCAGGAGCCTGTAAAGCATTGCACCATTGATCAGCAGATAGCTGGTGCCATGCAGGACTCCTGCAGATTTGTTAGCGCTCATGTACACTGCAGCTGCTAAACTGATATTCAGGAGCTGTTCAGCGTTTTTTTCAGCAGCCCCTGAACTCTCCTGTATGTTTTCCTATGTGTCCATGTACACATCGTGTTTACAGTCGTTTACAGGCAGTTGAGTTTACAGTAGTTTTTTTTAACGCACCAAACTTGTGTTCAGGAGTAGATTTTTCTGGCATTTCAAACGCCTGTAAACGCGTGTAAAGGTTTGTAAATGTGGTTAACCGCATTTAGAAGCGTTTGCTTTTAGAAGCGTTTTTTAACTGTTCCATATCCATATGCTGTCCAGAGGCTTTTTTCATCATCAGAAATGCATGCAAAGCGTTTTTCATGTATTCAAATGGACCTAGCACACCTGCGCAGTCAGTTCCAGGTTTCGAGTGAAGGAAAAAATGGTAGAACGTGCTGCATTATGCTCATGATGGGATCCATAGTGAACTCTCTAAACCTCTGAAATAGTTAATTATTTACTATTTCACTGCATTCTGGGCATTTGGGAAGGTCTCCTGAGGTTATCTATTAAAAATGCTTTTGAACGCAAATGCTCATAAACACGTCTAAACACACATAAACACATTATGCAAACGAGGCTAAACCGACGTTTTTTAACCTACATTTTCCAGCAGTCAGTTTCCATCACTCAGAAGAGTTTTCCAAATGCCCCGTGTACATGAGCCCTTAGTATGTCTGCTTGCCCATACATCCTGTACTGGCAAGCAGATAGATAGCAGGTAGATAGATTTTTTTTTAGTTTTTGAAAGATATTTCATCTCACTTCCACTTCCTATTCTGTCTGCAGAACAGGATGTAAAATTAAATCTCACAAATCAGACACAGATGGCAAAAAAAAAAAACCATCACCTACTCCAAAAAAGAAAAGGTTTTGGCTAGATAGATATACTAGATATATTTTAAGATTAAGTAATGCAATTCATTAATCTGTTAAAAAAAAAATTGGCTAAACGAAGAACACATTCAGATGAACAACCTTTCTGAAACAAATTAATATCTGAACAGAAATTCTGTTTTTTCAGATCGCAATCTCGTGGCCATGGGTGTCTTCACAGACCATGATTGATTCCTACCTGTACACCTTTTCAAATGTAAGATTAACATTGGCATTTTGGTATAAGACACCAGACAAGTAGTTTTTCCACTGTGCGTTCAGTAGATAAGGAGTATCCAGAACCTGCAGAATACATAGAATTATGTTCGGTACAACACATTAGATACATAAATGCCTAACAGCACATATAAATCTATTATACTGGCAATGAGAAAATTATAAAATAAAATAAATGTTAAAGCTGAACTCTGGGAATTAGACAAAATCTAAACTTGCAGTGGGGTCCCCTGCACTACGAAGGTTAAATGCTCGCTTAGTCTAGGGGTGCTAATATCAGGTGTATTACTTACCACATTCCTGGCTCCGGTGGGCTCCATTAATCCATCCAACCAGTCCAGTACTGTCACTTTCCTAAGGCACACTCAGACCTGGTCAGTTGCTCATGTCCTCCACATATAATGCAGGGTTAATAGTCCTGCACTGTACATGATGACACTGAGGCACTGATCACAGCTCACCCACAGACAGGGCTTCAGGTAAAAAGAGAACAGGTCTGAAGTGTGTTGCATCGATGAATAGAGTACTACATCTTATTCCTGCACCCTGAATTCCCATGTCAGTGAATTGTCACAGACCAGATGTCCCCATCTGAGGATTTCCCTCACCACTTTCTCTGGTGACAATTTAAAATGCTTGGATTTTCCCTCAACATCTATCCTGGTGACAATAGTCTCCCTAGGGGATACAGACATAGCAGTTAAAACTTGACAAAAGGGCCTAGCCCTTCCCCACTCTGTCCCAAGCTAAAAAAAATAAAACCTTTTCCTTTTTAGTTTAGTTTTGCCTTTTAGTTTGCCTTTACATAAACTTTAATAATTTGTTCAGCATTGTGAACCAATAAAATTATTTTTCTGTTTCACCAAAATAGTACAAAGTATGAAAGCCTAGTAAGGCAAATTCACTTTTTTATGGTAATATTGCCTGTATGCAATCATCATCCATCCAAAGAAAGATTATTCTGGATGGGCCAAAAAGCAGGATAAGTGTATGGCGGTCTGTAATGACCAGACCATTTGGCCAGTGATGTACTGTATGTAACTTTTTTTGATCAATTTTCTCTTTAATCATTTCTATTTTCAAGAAGCTTTCATGTCACTGGCTCACATCTAAGAAGATCTTCTTTACTTTCAATTTTCTTTCAATTTGCAATGTGTGTATTTGAGTATTCTTTAGGGATACACCGATACCGACATCGGTATTGATACCGAGTATATTCACGAGTACTCATGACAATGCTCCCGATACCCAAACTGATACTTTGCAGTGCTATTTCTGTGATGGCGCTTACAAATCAAAAGTCATTTAGCCTGTACTGTCGTCCCTGCAAGGAGCGGAAAGAAAGCCACGGGGATTTCAAATCCCACAGTTTTCTCTCCTTTCCCACAGCTGAGAATCTGCAGCATTGCCGCGGCTTTCTCTCCTCTCCTACAGCTGAGAATCCAAAGCATCTGCCTCCTTCTCCGGTGACCAACACCAAGATATACAGTTGTGACCAAATTTAGGTTTCAACCCCCACTGAAATTGAGTGTTTTGGCCAGTTTGACATTGCAATTTTTGATCATTCAGTCAAATCTTGCTTACATTTTACATTAAAGAGGCACTTGTAGGTCAGACAAATATACATAACAGTTATAATGAAATAACCACAAATGTCTTTTCTGTGCTCACAGCATTATCAGTTTTATTTCAACCCCAAGTGACATTAATCTTAGTACCACTTAGTACAGCATCCTTTAAGCAGTTACAGTTATAACAGCTTTTTAAACGTGAAGCATAGCTTGACACAAGTGTCTTGCAGCGATCTACGGGTATCTTCGCCCATTCTTCATGGGCAAAGGCCTCCAGTTCAGTACTTTTCTTAGGCTTGCGCACTGCAACATGCTTTCTTTAAGTCCCACCAGAGGTCTCAATCGGATTTAAGTCTGGTGACACCAGCGATGTGCCACTCCAAAATGTTCCAGCTTAAGAGAATGTTTTCCTTGCAACCATGCTCTAGTGGACTTGGAGTTTATGGCTTGGGATCATTGTCCTGTTGAAAGGTCCAACGTCTCCCAAGCCTCAAGTTGTGTGACGGTGGATGCATCACGTTTCCATCCAATATCTCCTGGTACTGAAGAGAATTCATGGTACCTTGCACACGCTGAAGCTTCCCTGTACCTGCAGAAGCAAAACAGCCCCAAAGCATGATTGACCCTCCACCATGCTTCACAGTAGGCAAGGTGTTCTTTTCATCATAGGCCTTGTTCTTCCTCCTCCAAACATAGCGTTGATCCATGGGCCCAAACAGTTCTAATTTTGTTTCATCAGTCCACAGAACACTATCCCACAACTTTTGTGGTTTGTCCACATGGCTTTTGGCATACTGCAGTCGACTCTTCTTATTCTTTGGAGACAGCAAGGGGGTACGCCTGGGAAGTTCTGGCACGGAGGCCTTCATTAGCAGTGTGCGTCTTATTGTCTGGGCTGAAACTTCTGTACCCACATCTGACAAATCTTTTCTCAGTTCCTCAGCAGTCACACGGGGACTTCTCTCTCCACTCTACGCTTCAGGTAGCGCACAGCAGTCGAAGTCAGCATCTTCTTTCTGCCACGACCAGGTAGCGTTTCAACAGTGCCCTTTGCCTTGAATTTGCGAATGATGCTTCCTAAGGTGTCTCTTGGTATGTTTAAACATCTTTGCAATCTTCTTATAGCCATTGCCCTTCCTGTGAAGAGAAATCACCTCTTCTCTTGTCTTCCTGGACCATTCTCTTGCCTTCACCATGTTTTGTAACCACACCAGTAAATGTCTAGAAGGAGCTGAGTATCACAGTCATTTTAAAGCTGCCTAATTGGTGCTTATTATGCTTGATTGCTGCTCGGTGACATCCACAGGTGTTTTCAATACCTGATGGAAAGCACCTGTATGAACCTCTGTTCTTCAGAGTGGTAGTCTTTAAGGGGTTGAATAATTGTGGCAATGAAGAAACCACATAAGAACCATTTACTACTGTATTACATAAACAATTGATGTCATTTTAGTTGCATTTGGGTAGTTACAACGTCCTTGTAGGATTTGATTCTGAATACAATTCCAAATGTACACTATAGTCCCTAAACCCCTTTACAGCATTGGGGGTTGAATAATTTTGGTCACAACTGTACAACCCCACACGCCCTTTTCTCCCACTCTCCGCTCAGCTTGGGATTGGTACAGGAAGGTTTCCCACACCGCTCCTGTGTGAACTCAGGCTTGTGACAACCTAGGTTCACACAGGAGCAGGGGGGAAACCGCTTGCAATTTGGACAGGGATAGCATTCCTGTTCAAATTGCATTTTTTTGGTGCATTTTGTATTGACTCAAATTGCTCTGCAAAGTATTTGTACTCGATATCAGCGAGTACTTGACCAAAAGTATCGGTACATGTACTCACTGATCAAAAAATCGTATTGGTGTATCCCTAGTATTCTTTTACTATTTGTAGACATGGACTGATAATGTGGCTACCACCAAACTAGAACCTTCAACATTAAGCAGTATAGATCCTTCAAAACCTGTATGAGAAAAATGGAAGACCAAATATGACAATGCAATATAATCACAGTCAGGGGCGGACTGACCATTTGGAAACTCGGGCACTGCCCGAGGGCCTGGGGTCAGTAGGGGGCCCCATGAGATGCCCCTGGTACCCTTTTCATAGGCTTTTTTGAGTTTGAGCAAGGACACAGGGGACCCATGATCCCCTATTGCCCGGGGGCCCCATGACTTGTCAGTCCGCCCCTGATCACAGTGTACAGTGGTCCTCGGGGGCAGTATTGTGACAGATGACCAGTAACACCAGCCCAGTGACAAGGTGCCCCATGAAGTCATTTTAAAGCAATTGCAGCTTAAGAGAATGTTGTGTTGTTTCAATCTATCCTTAGAATATTTATGAACTAGAGCCAATTTTCCAAATGGCTATGGAATCATTCGGTAACGCTCATATTTGAAATATTTCTGTCTTTCCTTATTGCAAGTTATGCTGGGTGTGGATGCAGTCAGGTATTCTTTAGAACTATTTGTACATTTTTTAGCTGTACAGCAATATGAAATTCTTGGTGTTTCAGCCTAAGGCAGCTGTCCGAAAAGATGTTTCTTGTCTTGAAATGTGCTAACCCTAAACATTAAAGATGCACCACATGAAACATGGCTTCTAAAATCTACTAGTGGCTCAAGACTACTTTCTTTGCATCTGGCTTGTTCTCAAAGAGTGCAAAAAGTGAAAACAGTGGGTGTTGGTTTGTGCAGTGAAAGTGAGGATATTTATTTGTTTTCTAGCATCATGGGATGGAGGTTCATATCAGCAGGTTTACTGCAGGATCTAAGTTTATAACTGTAAGATGTATAAAATGATGATGCAATTTGCAGCTTTTGACCTGGTTGGGGCAGAGTAATATCAGTAGCCTACAATGTTCATGAATGGTTTACACACCAGAGTGGGTGCAATGGCAGGAAATGTATACAGACGTCATGAACTGTAAGGATTCCTAAAGTTGCAATTAATATTTTGAGACCAGGCAGGAGCTCTCTTAATGCCCAGCAGCCAACTAGTCTAGAGGAAAATCATAGTGTAGATTCTAAGAAGCCTAACGAAAAAAAAAGCATGTTTCTGGTAACCAAATAGATAAGTGTGTTGTCATTCTCTGTACTCCCTAGGAGAAAAAGTAAAATACTATCCTGATAATCAATTGAGAATTGTAGTGTCTGTTCCTTTAACATGATAGAACAGTCATAGTGTTATTCTTTGGTTGTCTGGTAAGAAAAAATTATAACCCGAGTCCTTGATCTTTTAATGGAGAAAGAGAAAGTTCCAGTCTAAAAGCACAGGGAGAAATGTGTTGTGTCAATCTTCAATAGACTAGGAAGAAAAGCTGTGGAGCCATTTCTCGAAGGCCTAGTAGTAAATGTGAAAGAGTCTAGTCAATGAGAGTTGTTTCTGCTTTAAGCCTACTTCATTTCAGTAGGAACCTGAAAGGTCAGAATGTGACAGGACCCAGATCTGAACCCAGGACCTATATTGGATCTGGCAGTAGCTTGCTTGCTG